GCTCGAGAAATAGATGAGTTTCCATACCTGGATCACCGGAAATGGTGGCCGGATTACGGAGAACGAGCTGGAGAAAGTTTACGAAAAAATTGTCGAATACCGCCTGTTTCGCGGCTGTTTCCGGCGACTATGGCGGTAGATAGAGGCGGCGAAGGGCTGAAGTTGGAAGAGGTAAGTTTGGTGGTTCGTCTGGCACTGGTCTTGCCTGAATCGGAGGTCGGAGCTGAGAGAAAACAGCTCCCAAAGTCGGTTGGTCCTCCCCCGAAAACCAGAAAATCTGGGTTTATAAAATCTGAACTTCGAAATATTTACGGTTATGTCACTGAACTTCTTTTGATCGTAACTCCTTCGTTACAATTCCGATTTGAGTCCACTACATGTCTACGAACTCGTTTCGTCGCGCTCTACTCAACGGTACAACTAAAATTCCCAAATTCCTTCCCGGTCAAAAAGTCAACTTGTAACTAATAAAATATTCTAGGGGTATTTTTGTCTTTTTCTCAAATAAATTAATAATTAAATATTAATTTTGGGTTTGGGTTATTACATCCGTGGAGTCAAAGAGCCGATGATAGTGGTTAAGACCAAACGATATGACGCAGCCTCCAACATTGAGGAGAGAAAATGCATTGCAAAAACTTATAAAGACCACAGGGCAATCGATAGATTGGGTAGGTAAACTGAATCCACCAAGACCCACCCCAGATCCCAGCACAAGCTGGGAGGGAGAGGGAACGGGGTCAAAATAGGGGATTCAAATCCTAGATCTGCAAAATAAGCAAAACCAGAAACAAAGGGCCAAAACTAAGCCACCAAAGGGCAGAAACCTGTAAAAAAACAACATAAAATAAACCGAAGCCTTCACGGCCTAGAAGAACCAAAATAAGCTTAAAAAAAGAGGGACTGGCTCTGCAAAAACAGAGCAGCACCCGTGGAGGAAAATTTTTTTGGGGGGAGGGGGAATGGAAGAGGGAGGAGAAGGTAGGAAAAAAAAAGGTGGTAAAGGAGAAAATCAAAAAGAAGGAGATGAGAGAAAAGAACAGAGAGCAAAAGTTAAAAAAACAGAAAAAGTGAAGGTAGAAAACTGGAAAGAGAACAGAGAAGAGAGGAGAGGAAGGGGGACGAAGAAGAGAGGGGGAGAGGGGACCAGGGAAAAAAGGAAGGGGGGAAGAAGGAGAAAAAAAAACAGAAAAAATCATAACAAAGAACCAAAAAGATGGAGGAGAAAAGTGGCGGCGCTAGAAGAGAGGGGGGCTAGGGTTCAGGAGGAAGCAGAGATAGTTGAAAAACTAGTTGAGCTTGTGTTAGGGAGTATAGATGAAACTAGTTCCAATAGCACATGAGCATCGTTTGGATGAAGGAATTGAAAATTACATAGAATTCAAAAATGACAAAATTTAGATTCCATCATTTCAATTTATGGCAATTGAAGATTTTAGTATTTAGATTTATGTGTATCGAATTTTGTAAATGACACTATGAAAATTGTGAAATAACTCCTATTTTGGTGGAAATTAAACTTGAAAACTTGATGTCCCAATTTCCACAATTTTTTCCACACATCATTTAATAAATTCCGAGCTTAAATTACCAAACAATGGAATTGTCAATTTCTCCTAATAAATTCCCGACTTTTAGTTAAATTTTGAGTTATTTTCCCTTATCCAAACAGAGGATAATGTGTTTGGATTAGGTGTTTTGAAGTGATGGAACTTCAAAATGATGAGATTTTGAAATGAGAGGACTTCAAAGTGATAAATTTTGAAATGAGGGGATTCACGGTAATTAATTTAGTAAAGTCACTTGTTTGGTTAATTACTTAGTTATTGAAATATAATTAGTTAATTTCTTATAAATATGATTGTTTTTCCAATAAAAAGTAAATAAAATGATTAGTTATTGAAATATAATTAGTTAATTTCTTATAAAAATCAATAAAGAGTAAATAAAATGATACACATTGATTTTTAAATCAGTCTTTCTAAACCTTAGATTTAGAATTTTAGATGACCGCAATTTCCTTATAGCAATAGGGGGAACGGGGCCGTTTTGAATAAATAGAAAAAGCTAAACCCATGAAATTTTATGCGCGCACATTCCCCGAGTCCCTTCTCCTACACGAGGCTCTACGAGCACCCTTCCCTCTATTTCTGAAACCCTAACGGCCATTTCTTCTCATCTCTCCTGCAAGTCTGAACTCTGCAACTGCGAGACCTTTTAACCAAAATCCAGGTAAAACTAAAACCTTCTATTCAATACTTGGATTCTAATTTGCTTTTCTTGTTCTTGTAAAATACGAAATTAAGTAATTAATACGAATTCTATACAATAAATACCATTCGAAGCATTGAAATTACTTCTCCAATTGAAATTAACAATATTTTCTGTCTGTTATTTAGATGCGGAGATATTTGCTGAACTTAATCGCCTGCTATTGATGAATGCAGAAAATTTGCAAAACATTGTGAATTTTTAGATTTTGACTGCATTATATTTGTTCCAGGCGAGTAAAACCCTAGCCATGGGTTCCTTCAAGGACGCAGACCCAACCCTAGGGTTCTTAACCCGTAAGGATACTGAGGTCAAGCTACCACGACCCACTAGGGTTAAGAACAAAACCCCGGCCCCTGTTCAAATCACCGCAGAGCAAATCCTCCGTGAGGCACGTGAACGCCAGGAGGCTGAAATTCGACCTCCCAAGCAGAAGATAACTGATCCCACTGAGCTCGCTGATTATCGTCTCCGGAAGCGCAAGGAATTCGAAGACCTAATCCGGCGTGTGAGGTGGAATGTCAATGTCTGGATCAAGTATGCGCAGTGGGAGGAGTCCCAGAAGGACTTCAAACGTGCTCGCTCTGTTTGGGAGCGTGCTCTTGAGGTTGATTACCGGAACCACACCCTGTGGCTCAAGTATGCCGAGGTGGAGATGAAGAACAAGTTCATCAACCATGCTAGGAATGTGTGGGACCGTGCTGTCACGCTCTTGCCTAGAGTTGACCAGCTGTGGTACAAGTACATTCACATGGAAGAGATTATAGGGAATGTGGCTGGTGCTCGACAAATATACGAGAGGTGGATGAATTGGATGCCAGACCAGCAAGGCTGGCTCTCCTTCATCAAGTTTGAGCTTCGGTATAATGAAGTGGAGCGTGCTAGAGCGATTTTTGAGCGGTTCGTACAATGTCATCCGAAAGTTGGTGCTTGGATTCGGTATGCCAAGTTTGAGATGAAGAATGGTGAGGTTGTGAGGGCGAGAAATGTATATGAGAGAGCAGTGGAGATCCTGGCTGATGATG